CCGAGGCAGCATCACAGGGGCCGGCCAACGCTGCCCACTGGCCTCCCTCCCTCCTTCCCTCTCCTCCCTCTCCCTCACTTCCCTCTCTCCCTCTTTCTCCCTCTCTCTGCCTCTCTCCCTCTCTGTTTCTGTCTCTTCCTCTCTTTCTCCTTCCTCTCTCTCTCTCTCTCCCTCTCTTTCCCCCTCTCCTCCCCTCCAGCACCTGATATCCTTAAGACGCATCCCGATAAAGATCAGAGACGGCCCCTTGGCACGGGACCTGGCAGGCCTCCAGCTGCCCTGCAGTGCGGCAGTAGAGTGCTCCCCAGTGCAGCTGTGGACAGTGCTCTGCACAGAGTCCCAGAAGCGCCTGGCCACGGCAAAGGTCACGGCTGGCAGAGGGCCGTGCACCCGGGCACCTGAGCCTCGCTTTCTCCTGGGCTGAGACCCCCCTCTCTCCCAAGCACAAGGCGGGGGGAGCGGCGGGTCCAGCCTTGGGGAGCTCCTGGGCGGGGCCGATGCCCAGCACGAAGCCCTCTGAGCAGGCGCGGGCAGCAGGCTGGGTGGGCGGTCAGCCGGGTACCTGTGTCGCGGATCCCACGTCAGATGTGATCCCTCACCCGAGGACAAGACTCAGGGCAAGGCCCGAGGGAGGGCAGGAAAGGGCCCCTGGTGGACAGTACCCGGACGGCCAGGCCCCCCACTGTGGGAGGGAACCAGGGGACCAGCACTGTCCACGCGAGGCTTTCGGATGGCAGAAATGTGGGTGGGGCCCCGTGGGCACAGCCCGGCACCGCCCCATGCCAGGAACAAGTCACTGAACACTATGCCGCGACCAGCACTGCCGACCAGGCGGCCTTGTAGCACTGGCTGATGGTCACATTGGCCTGTGGCCACCAGCAGGTCCCCCTCTGCAGCCGGAGGGGAGCAGGTGTGGTGGGTGGACACTGATCCAGTCACACTGCCCATCCCTGACCTGTCCCTGCAGCCCGTCTCAGCCACGGCTGACAGCACAGAGCCGGGACACGTTGGACATGAGGCCCCTGGGCCCTGCTGCCCGCTGGGCCTCTCTGGGACCCCAGTGGCCACGAGCCCCCCTCGATGGCCAGATCCTTTCCCCTCTGGCACCCGAGTCCTGTCCCCCCCAACACCCCTAGGGAAGAGGCAGGTGCGGGCGGGAGAAGGAGGTGAAGACAGTGAGTCCCCCGCACCCCACCCCTGCCGCCCCTGGGCACCACCTGGTCCTGCTCCGTTTCTGTGGTAAAGCCCCCCCCCCAGTCCTTCTGGCCCCTGAAAGCGATGCCTCTACATGGAGGAGGGTCATGGGGCCACACCCGCCTGGTCCCCAGCACCCCTCAGCTGGATGTGGAGGAGTGGGGAGGTGGAATGTTCTGGAAGAACGAGAGAAACAAATGTCCATTTCTATTATTTTTTGGTTCACACCTGGTGATGCTCAGGGGTTACTCCTGACTCTGCACTCAGGACTTACTCCTGGCGGTGCTCAGGGGACCCTATGGGATGCTGGGAATCGAACCCGGGTCAGTCGCGTGCAGGGCAAACGCCCTCCCCGCTGTGCTATCGCTCCAGCCCAAAATGCCCATTTCTGCTTGTCCCCCATACCCTCAACCCTGCGCATGGACAGGGCCCCCGACAAGCCCCCAAACATTTCCAACCCATCTTGGACCCCAAGCTGGTGCCCAAGTCGGGGGGGGACCCCAGGGTGCGGGGCCCCTTCTCAGCCTCTCCAGGACACAGGTGCCCCCACCCACCTGTCACCTCCAGACACCCGGCGAGGGGTTCCCCCATGTTCTGACCAAAGGTGCCCTTATCACCTGCTCCCCCAGACTCAACCCAGCACTGTCCTCCCAAAACAAGCACGAGCCTCCCACGGGAGGGGCCTCAGAGGACGGGGCTTCCAGAATGTTCTGCACAGCAGCTTGAAGAATGAGCCGGGCACATGTGGAGGTGCCGTGGTCGGTCCTCAGCCTGGATTGTCCCTGCAGCCAGCACCGAGGCTGCCCAGGGACGCAGAAGGGGTCTGTCCCATGCATGCTGCAGGCTGGGGCACCCCTGGGACAATCCTGCCGGTGGACAGCCAAGCCCTGGGCTGGTGCCAGGGGCCCGTCCTGGACACTGTCCTTCTGCCCCCAGGTGCGACATGCTAGAACCCCGACTTGTCCTGTTGGGGTCCAGGGCCCCTTCCATGCCCCACAGCCCCGCAAGGCAGGGGCGCATCTCCCCATGGGGGGAAGGGGGCTGGGATAATGGGGTGCAGGAGGCAGGGATGAGCCTCTGCTCACTCTCTGGGGCTCCACGGCCACCTGGAACACCCAGACGAACCTCCGGGTTGGTGACCCCCAGCCCACCTAGCCCCCCAGGAGAAACCAGGGCTAATGGGGGGTCCTGACAACTCCCCCTACCTCCCCCAGCTCCTGAGGGGTCAGCACTGGTGTGCAAACAGGACACTCCCAGCCCTGGGGCCAAGGCAGGCTGAGGGGGTCTCTGGAGAGAATGCAGTGGGCGGGGGGGGGGGGGGGGGGGGGGGGGCGATTGGGGCTGATATGGGGGGGCTGCTGGAGCACTGCTGCCACCCACTGGCCGGACTCGGTACTGCAGGAGTTCGGGCCCCTGGTGTGGGCCGGCCCTGCAGGGCAGCAGGAGCAAACCCCTGGACTGTGGCGCCCTCTGCTGGCGGCCGGCGGCGCTCACCCCGGAGTGGGGGCGACCTCAGCCCCAAGCCGAGCGGGGGGGGGGGGGGAGTACGCGGGTGCCCTCTGCTGGGGGCATGGGGCACGGCACACGGCACCTGGGAGCGCAGTTGCACCCCCACTGCCCGCCGTGCCTTGGGGGGCCCCCTCTGGCAGACTGCTGTGATGGGGCGACCGGGTGACACCATATGACACTGACCATGTCACGCTGTGATGCTGTGACCAGTGGCATGCTCTGACCCGGTCACCCCAACACAGCAGTCTGCCAGAGGGAGCCCCCCAAGGCACCCGGCATCCACGTCGTTCCCACGGCAACACTCAGCACAGGGACAGAGGCCCGTCACCTATAGGGCCGAGGCCAGCGCCCTCCCCCTCCCCCACCCCAACTCATGCGGCGCCCACACCCTCTCGTACCCCTGACTCGCTACCCTGGGCCCGGCAGCAGCCTGGGCGAGGGTGAGGAAAGACACAGGGATTGGGGCTGCACTGGGCCCCGTGGGTGTCGGAGGACCCCGTGTCCCCCTGCACTGGGCAGGGCCCTGGTCTTTGCAGTGTCCCTCCCCGTCAGGGAGTGGGGGATGGCTCTGGGTCCTCCCCTCCCCCACATGGTGTGGGCACCCCGCGGGCTGGCCGGGTACTTGCCCACACGCTGGCAGGAGGCAGAGCCATGGTCAGGGTCAGCCCTGCAGCCGCAACCCCAGAACCTGCTAGAAAGAACAGGGAAAGCCGGTGCTGGGGGTGCGCCCGGGGCTCTGCCAGTCAAGGACCCTCCCTGGGCCCACAGACACCCCCGCTCCAGCCTGAGGCTGGGCACGGGCTTCGGACTCGCCGGTCTAGAATGTTCTCGGCGCTGGCATGTGGGGCCACGGTGCTCGGGGGAGCGTGGCAGCAGGGCGCCAGGTGGGCCCCAGGCCGGATTAGCCAACAGCGGGGACCCTGGGTAGCAGGTGCCCCCAAGCCTGCAGGTGTGGGCCCCACGCCACCAGGCTCCGATTACGCGCCAAGCCTGCGTCCCCTGGGATTCGGGCCCGGGCTGCATCCGTTGACCACTTTGATGTGAGGCGCTGGCCACACCCCCAGAGTCCATGGCCATGAGCGGGCTATGCTGCTTGCTCAAAGCAAAGGGGGTGCTCCCTGGGAGAACCCCGATTACCTGCACTGCAGGAAACTCAAGCCAGCCGCGCTGAGGCCAGCCCCGCTCTGCACGTGCCCACATCAAAGCCGACCGCTTGGCGCGGGCACACTGCCCAGCTGGGTACCCTCAGCAGGGCCCGCTCAGGACCCCAGCAAACAGAAACACAGGACACCAACACACGACACAGGGGACCCCAAGGTGCAAATGCGGGATCCCAAGATGCCCATCAGGACCCTAACACGAACAGGGGCTTCATCTAGCGGGCACGGGGCCCTGGCACACCCCGCACACGAACGGGCCAGCTCTGAGCAAAGCCTCAGGTGACACCCCCACAACTCACTGTCCGGGTTGGTTTGTTTCTGGCCAGTTTTATTGAAAAGCATGAATGTTGAGTCTGTCGCCGTGAGCAGGGACACTGGTGACACCACCTGGGGGTTCTTGCCCACCTGAACTTCCTGCGTTCTCCAGGCCAAGCGTAGGACACACATTCCCTCCCGGGCAGCCTGCAGGTCCCAGCAAAGGCCGAGACCGTTCCCTGGGACATTGCAGGCCACCCCAAGTGTCACGCTGGAAGCTCGGGGGTCTTTCTAAGACCCTGCTCCAGTGTGAGGTAGAGCTGGGGGCAGCAGGCAGCAGGCACACCCACACTGGCACTGTCCCCCACCAGAAGGTTGCCAGGGACATAGCGCACCCACGCCCCGGAGGCAGGAGCAGGGCAGGCTTCGGGCCAGTTGGGTCACCGCGGCAAGCCCCCAGGTCAGAGAGGCAGAATGGGGGTCCCACAGCCGCGAATAACAAGCTCAACACCGAGAGAAAGGGACCCCGGGACAGCCAGTGGCAGGAGGACAGAGCAGGGGCATGTGCAGCTCGGACCCTCAAACAACAGACGGATGGACAGATGGACGGCAGCCACCCACCCGCCCCTGCCAGGACGCTCCGCCACACCCACACCCAGACAGTGGCATGGTCCGACTCAGCCCGGGTGTGGTCGGCGGCAGGCGTGACCCAGGTGTCAGTCTGCTACAGATGTGGCCCTGGTGTCGGCCGGCTGCAGACGTGGCCCTGGTGTCGGTCAGCTGCAGATGTGACCCAGGTGCCGGTCAGCTGCAGGCGTGGCCCAGGTGTCTGCCAGCTGCAGCCGTGGCCCGGGGGCCCGCAGAGCTGCAGGCGCGGCCGGGTCACCGGCACAGCTGCAGGTACGGGTGACTACGCAATGTCTCTATCAGCTGCTCCTCCGTGGGCTCCTCCAGGGTGTCACTGTGGACAGAAGGGTCCAGAGAGGAGCAGGCCCCGGTGACCCCAGGCACCAAGGCGTGGGCCACTCTCTCAGGGAACTGGGGGAGGCAGGTCCCACCCGAGTGGCAGATGGCGGGAACTGGAAGCAGTGGAGACCCGGGTCCGCCCGCCGCCCACCTGAACAGCAGCTCCAGGGACATGATCCGAGTGGCCTGGTGGACCCCGCGTGGCAAGGCCACGTTGCCGTGCCGGTCCCACTTGCTGAGAAAGTTCTGGAAGGCGGGGGAGGGGAGACCTGAGACCACTGCGGGTCGGCTGGTCCCCACAGCAGGGACCCCGCCAGCACCCCCTAGGTGAGGCCTCACTCCTGCAGGAACTCAGTCGGGCCCAAGAATCCTAGGTCAGAGGTCAGTGCACCCAGCCCGGGGCATTGTGGGTGGGGCCAAGTGTCCCCCTCAGGGCATGCTGAGGGTCCTGGGGTGCCCGCACCTCCAGAATCAGAGCCAGGAACACATTGACCCAGATCACGGACGACACGAGCCACCACAGGACAAAGTAGACCTTGGACCACCTGCAGGACAGCGGGACCCCATGCGGTGACCGGGCAGAGATCCAGCGTACGCCCCCCCCCATCCCGACACAGGCCCCTCCAGACAAGGGTCCCCAGGACGCAGGCCCCCAGGACACGGGCACCCACAGGGTCCCCAGAGAGGCCCCCACCTGGGCTTGGGAATAACCAAGAGTGGGCTGCGGGGTCCAGCTGGTGAGATAGGAGCTGAGCCCACTGCCCCCAGTAGCCTGGCTGCCCTGGAGCCCCAAGCCAGGTGCTCCTGCCCCCCGCGGGCGGGCCCAGGGTGTCGGCACTCACGGACCAGCGTAGCGCACGAAGGCCTCCAGGAACACCTGCCAGTTATTCACCACCATCACGTCCCACAGCACCACCAGGGCCGCCTGCGGGGGGCAGGGGATCAGTGGGGGCCTGGGGTCAAGCAGGGGCTCAGTGGGAGACCCCGGGGTCAGACCCAGGGAGGGGGCTCAGCGGGGGCCCAGAGCGAGGCGGGGCTCCATAGGGGGACCCGGGGGTCAGGTGGGGCTCTGTGGGGGACGCACCGCGAAGTCGTCGAAGTTGTTGGCCCAGTAGTTGAGCTCCTCGAAGGTGCCGCAGGTGGCGGAGGCGTTGGCGGCCAGGCTGGGGGACAGCACCGTCATCTCGGGGCCTCTGCCGCCATGGAACCCCCTCTGGGCCCCGAGAACCGGGCAGGACGGACGAGAACCTCCCCCCAACACTACTCAGGCTCAGCCTTGGGCCGCGGGGGGAGGGGGCCAGAGTCCCCCAGGCCTCACCTGCTGTTCCCGGGGGGCACGATGACGCCTCGGAAGAGGCTGATGCCGACGATGGCGAATTCATAGTACACCACCTGGGGGCGGGGCCAGCGCCGTGAGGGCAGGAGAGGGGCCCCGAAGACAGGACGGGGTGGCGGGAGGCTGGGGGAGGCAGGGAGGGCCGCCAGGCTCAGCACTGGGGTCCCAGGAAGGCCGCCATACCCCCTCGAGTCCCTGGGGGGCGCCAGAGGCTGGGGGAGGGGCCCACAGGGCTAGCCCAGACTCCCACAGTGGGGGCATGAACGCTACGCTGGCCTGAGTACTGGGGCTCTGCTCCCCAGCGCCCGCCCCCCACAGGGGGTCTGCTGCGTCACGGTCCCCTTCTCTCTGGGGCGCGCACCACGCTCCCCAAACCCAAGGCCGAGAAAGAGCCACTGGCACCTCATCTGGGAACCCTCCACCAGGTTCCTGTGACCCGGGACAGGGGAGCTCCAGTGGGAAGGGGGATGGGGAGGGGACAGTCCCCCGGCGGCAGACCCACCTCCCCCCCGGCCGCCCGCACCCTGCGCCACGCCCGCCGTGCCAGCGCCCAGCCCGCTCTCCGCACCCAGACTCACCACCAGGATCCCGCCGAAGGCCCGCATGTTCCTGATGAGGTCCAGCATGGTGCTGGCCACCACGGCGATGAGCTGTGGGAGGAGGCAGGTCCGAGCGCCCTGTCCCACGGGGGCACCTGCCTGCCGGTGCCCCAGCCCAACCCAGGCACAGGGGACAGTGGCTTCCCACCACCCCACACACCTGCACACACACCTGCACGTGCACCAGCTCACACTGCTCACACCTGCACACACGCCTGGTCACACACCTGCACACCCGGCCCCGTCCAGCAGACACCCAGGCACCCCTGTGCCCAGAAACCCCCGTCTCCACCCACGTACACCAAGAGCACCCCTGGAGATGGCGACCTGAGCTGGGGGACCCATCAACCCAGTCACCCCCCCGGCGGGCAGGAGGGCAGGCCCGTGCCTGCGACGGCAACGAAATGCATCCGTGTGATTGTGAGTGCAAAGGTGAGTGCACGTGGTGACTGCTTCCGAGACACACGCGTGTCAGGTGTGTGGCCACTGGAAGATTACAAGGACGTGTGCCTCCACGTGCAAGGTCACATGCGGCCACAGGGCGTGCCTGTGTGACGGCAGTGAAAGACTCCATGGACGTGTATGATCACACTACGGACTCCCATTGTGAGTCCACGTGATTATATGTCAGCAACAGCCAATAGGAAATGACGTGGGTGTGCAGGAGTGTAAGCGTGTTAGTGACGTCAGACACTGAGACACGTGACCATGCGCAGACGGTCATGTAGGTACATGACTCCATGTGTTACTGACACCATACAGGTAAGACACATGAGACTACATGTATGTAGACCTGTGAGGTGACGTCACGCATGTGATGTAGACATAGAAGGGGGCGTGGGTGTGCCCAGGGCAGCGCAGGGCAGGACACTCAGAGGGGCCATGGCCTCAGCCCCTTCTCTCCAGGAAAGGCGTCAGGAAACAGCATGAGCAGCCCTTGTGTCTGAGGGACCCAGCCTGGCACCCGGCCACCCACTGGGTCCCGCCAATGTGAAACAGAGCCACAGCCGGGCTGAGAAAGGTCACAAGAAGCACCAGCCCCACCCTGGGGCTCCAGAGGGGCACCCCGGCTCGCCAACACCAACTTCCTGGGTGGGCTGCTTGCCCACTCTGCCCTGGCTCTGAAGTGAGCCCCGGTCACCCGTTCCCCCTCCCACCCCGGGGGTCTCCCGTTCCCCGCTCTGGTGGTCGCCAAAGACACCAGGGTTCACGCCGCCTGGAGCCTGGGAGACGGACCCTCGGCATCCCGGGAATCCGGGCCCACTAGGAGGGCGCCTGCCCCGTGCCCAGAGGGCCGTGCAAGGTGGCCCTACCTTCACGTTGGGGATGACACGCAGGAAGCGGAAGACGATGAGCATGTTCACCAGCCGGGCCAGGTCCCACAGCGACAGGAGCGGCGGCTTCCTGGGGACACGGTGGCACCAGGGGCCATGATGGGTGCCCGTGGCATGACCCCAGCCACAACCTCAGGTCCTGCCGCCACCCCACAGCACTGACCCCACCCCCACTTCCTAGTCCCCAACACCCCTGCCCTCTCCACAGGGGCGCAGTGCCCCTTCCCCCGTCCCGACAGGCCTGCCTGACGCCAGAAGGCATGGCTGCCCACGGCTGCCCATGGCCCCCACCACCCTGCAGTCTCCTGGGACCCGCCCCCACATTCTGAACTGGCACCCCTGGGCCATCCCAGCGTCCCTCCTGCTAGAGGCTGAGCTAATCCAGGGGACCCCTCCACAGCTCCAAGGCCACTTGCCCACCAGGAGCGACGCCCCAGGAACGGATGGATGTGCTCCCTGTCTGGGGCCCCTGGGTGCTCGCCCTCGGGCACCTACCAGCCCAGGTAGGGGAAGCGGTACACAGCCAGTGCGGAGACCTCCAGAACCTGCGGGCAGAGGGAGAGGTGCTCGCTGCAGCCACACCAGCGGGGCCAGAGCCAGGAGAGGCTGGGAGGCGCCCCTTGGGCAGGGCCACATCCCGCCTGCCCCTCCCCGTTACCAGCAGGACCAGGGTGAGCAGCCCGTCGAAGGCGTTGCTGGGCCGGGACCAGTAGCCGCGCAGGCCCAGCGCGAACACCTTGAGCAGCGCCTCCAGCACGTAGTAGAGGATGAAGACGCAGTTGAGGACCTGCGGGGGGCGGGAGGAGGGCGCAGGAGCCCGGGAGAGATGCGCCCTCAGCACCCCGAGTCTCTTGGGGCACCGCGCCAAGCGCACAGTCCAGCCCCAAGAACGAAGAGCGGCGAGCGCGGCGCACGAAGACACCCCGCTCCAGGGCCCTGGGCCAGGGGAGCCAGGGGGTCCCCTCGGCCCCCACAGCCCCTCAGTGGCTCCGCATCAGCCCCCCACGATCCACGCACTCAACAGGCCCAGCCCCCAGCCTCCCGCACCCCAGGAGCCGCCTGCCCGGCGGGGCCCTGCGCGGTGGCCTCTGACCCGCCACTGCCCGGCCGCAGGCTCAGCCTCACCTCCATGGAGAAGTTGTCCCACTGACCAGAGGGCACGTCCGCGTCCAGCTCCAGGAAGATCTGTGGGCGGGGCGGAGGGAGGGCTGGGGGGGGCCTGGAGAGGGAAGGGCCGGGGCGGGGCCGGGATGGGAGGGGCCGGGAGGGGCTAGGGGCGGGGCCTGATTGGGGCAGGGCCTGGCCAGAGGGCGGAGTTTAGATGGGGAGGAGCTAGAAGCTGAACAGGAGCTGGGGGCGGGGCCTGGATGGGCGGGGCGGGGCCTGATTGGGGCAGGGCCTGGTCAGAGGGCGGAGTCTAGATGGGGAGGAGCTAGAAGCTGAACAGGAGCTGGGGGTGGGGCCTGGATGGGCGGGGCGGGGCCTGATTGGGGCAGGGCCTGGTCAGAGGGCGGAGTCTAGATGGGGAGGAGCTAGAAGCTGAACAGGAGCTGGGGGTGGGGCCTGGATGGGCGGGGCGGGGCCTGATTGGGGCAGGGCCTGGTCAGAGGGCGGAGTCTAGATGGGGAGGAGCTAGAAGCTGAACAGGAGCCGGGGGCGGGGCCTGGAGGGAGTTGCTGGGAGCGGGGCCTAGATGTGAGGGGCCGGGCAGGGCCTGATTGGGGCAAGGCCCGGTCAGAGGGCGGGGCCTAGGTGGGGAGGAGCTAGAAGTTGAACAGGAGCGGGGGGCAGGGCCTGGAGGGAGTTTCTGGGGGTGGAGCCTGGATGGGAGGGACTAGGGCGGGGCTGGGGCCTGATTGGGGCAGGGCTGGGGCGGGGCCTGGCCAGAGGGCGGGGCTAGGGCAGGGTAGAGGGACGGCTGAGATGGGAGGCCGCGGAGGGCAGGTGGGCGGGTGGACAGCAGGGCAGGGCCAGGACAGGCCGCCCCACAGGCAGCACATACCCCACACTCACACAAATGGACACCAGGTTGCCAAGGGCAACGAGGTTCCCCAGGCAATCAAAGCCAGGGTGGCTGAAGATGAACTGGGCAGTCTGCAGGACAGGAGACTGGTACTCAGGCTTCGGTGGGTGCTGGAAAGGGGGTGTACTGGCTCAGAGAAGGCCCTTCAGGAGCCAAGGCTGCGGAGGTTGGGGCCCCCCTGATTCCCAGTTCTGGGCTGCAGCCTCTCAGGCCCAAGGACACAGCCACAAACACCTTGGCAGGAGACAGCCAGGAAGCACATCACGGGTGCTCAAGTCACTGCGACCACCTGCAGGGCTGTGACCACGGTCCACCCGCCCCACGGAGCAGGGCCGGCACGGGGGCCACACAGCCCGACCCAGAGCTGGGGCCACAGCACCCACAGTGGGCCCTGGGGATGGAAAAGGCCCTTTCAACCCAAAGGAAGGTGCACTCCGGACCCCCAGCCCTGAGTGGCCAGGATGAGTGGGGTGCCCGAGGAGACTACTCGGTCCCTCTTGTGGGGTGCCCTCCCCGCTCACCCTTCTAAAGTAACTGGCCGAATAACAAGGCACTGGGGTCTGCTCCCGGAGGCCTGAGACGGAGGCTCAGACCACCTGTGCAGTGACATGACGCGGGAGGCTGGAGTGAGGCCTCGGAGCCCCCCGGCCACCCAGACCGGGACCCTCATCTGGGACAGGAACAAAGTTCCGTGCTGAGGCCAGTGTGTCTGTCCCTTCCCTCCCTGAGCCCCAGGCCCTGGGCCACAGCACAGCCGGCAGCCTCTGCACACGACACGCAGAGCACGCCAGCCTTGGCATGGATGCCCAGGGGCACTCCTACCCCCACGGGGGGGGGGGGGACACTGAGGCCCCCTGCCCCCCAAGCAGCTCCCCGCATCTCTGCCTGTCCTTCCTGTCCTACAGATCCCGGGACACACACCTCCTTGTTCACCTTCCGGTCAAACTGGTAGAAAAGTTTCTGGAACTCGCTGGCTGACAGTACATCGCCGTAGGAAAGTGCATTCTGCAAAGAGGGGCCCCGAGATGAGGCAGGGGTCCCCCAGCCAGCCCAGGGGAAAGGGCACAGCAGTGGGCAGACCCCTGGCCCGCAGGAAGGCCTGCCACTGTCCTCCTGGGGGAGACCGGACGTACCTCCAGGATGGCATTTTTGTGGACGCTGGACAGCTGCACTTTCTCAAGCACCTCCAGAAAGTCTTCCATCTTCACCCCGATTCTGCAGGGAAAGGGCCTGCCAGTGAATCCTGTTGGCCCGGAGCCCGGAGCCCCCATCTGTGACTGCGCCCCGAGTTCAATACAACCGGCTTCCCTGGGTCACTGTGTCCTCTGAGACCCAGAAGCACAGCCCCAGCCCGAGATAGGACCAGAGCCACAGTGGTCAGCGGTGCCCAGTCCCTGCCAGCTCCCCGCACCCTGGCAGAGCACCCACCCTGGGGAGCAGAGCGGTCACACTCACCCCCGCGGGTGCTTTTCGTCCTGCACAGCCGTGGCCAGCACCTCGTAGGCTGCCCGGGTCCCCAGGCGCCGCCGGAGCAGGGACATCTGCAGAGACTTCTGCAAAGGGGGTCCAGGCTCTGCTGGTCACCCACATAGGGGCTGCGAGACACCAGAACCACACCCCAGCACAGGGTACAGGGAGCAGGGTAGGCTGGGGTGAGGTCCCCATGGGGGGCTCACCATCAGGTAACCCCGGAACTGGTTGTAGATAATGGCCGTCAGCAAGTTCATCAGGAACAAGCTTCCTAGGAGGGGTGCGGAGGTCAGGGGCAGCAGAGTGGGGCGACCCACAGAGCGTCCAGAAGCTGGCAGGGCAGGCAGGGCCTGGGCCAGCCCACAGAGCTGTCCGTCCAACGGGAGGGAGGCCACCTACCAGCCACAGGCACCAAGAGCAGAGTCTCAGTGAGGCACAAAGCACAGGGCTGGGAGGTCACGCATATGTGATGTCACGGGGTCAGTGGTCACGGTGAGAGGACATCATGGGATGGGGTTACGCGGAGTGATCATGAGGGCAGGGGTCCTTATCTTAATGACATCAGAGGACCAGGGGGTCACACTGAGATGATGTCACAGGGTTGGGGTCACACTGAGGTGACGTCGCAGGGTTAGGGGTCACACTAAGGTGACGTCACGGGGTCAGGGCCCTGGTGAGGTTCAAGAGCCTAGGGTCACACGCCCAGGGAATCAGGATCCTATCAAGGCATCAGCCCCAGCCCGGCCCCCCACTAACACCCCGTCCGGACTCACCAATGAGGGTAAAGAGGATGAAGAAGACGGCGTAGGCGCGGTTCTCGGAGTACACGGGGATCATCACTGAGGAGAGGATGCGTGGAACTGAGCGCGGGCCCGGCTGACGACCTCTCCTTCCCGGGTCGGGAGCCCCCGGGGGCCACAGCGGGGTGGTGGCCGCGGGCAGGGAAGTTTCCAACCTCGAGGGAGCTGGGCGAGCGGGTCTGGGACACTGGTGGCCACCACTGGCCGTTCAGAGGGGCTCCGCCCTGCACCTTGGCCCCTCCGCCGCCCCTAGGCCTCTGCCCCAGGGACAGTCCTCAGGAGCGAGGCCCCCGGAATGCGGCCCCGGGCCCACACGCACCGTCGGGGTTGTTGGCCATGGTGAGCAGCACCAGGAGCGAGGTCAGGGCTTCGGGCAGGTTGCGGAAGTAGATCTGTCGCTCCCGGTCGCGCCCGCTGCTGCCCTCCTGCTGGCGGGGGCCGAACTAAGGTGCCACCCGGGCCCGCCCGCCGCGCCCGCCCGCCCGCCCAGCGCCGCGGGGGGTACCTTGTCGCTGGCGAACAGCAGCATCCCAAACATGGTGAAGAGGAACAGGTGTAGCAGCAGCAGCAGCACGACGCTGGGGCGGGAGTCGGGCAGGGGTCAGCCGGGCGGGGACGGGGACCCCACGACCCCTCCCCAGGGAGGCAGAGCGGCCCCGGGCCCACCTGGCAATTTCCGGCAGGGACCACTGGATGCACTTGAGGGTCTTCTTCATCATGGACGAGTTCTGCAGCAGGAAGAAGGGCCGCAGCAGCCGGCGGACACGCAGGGGCTGCGGGGACAGAAGCCACGCGGGGTCCACCTCCAGCTCGGGCTCCTCAGGCCCCCACGGGTGACATGGTGGCGGCCGAAGGGCTCTGAACGGGCGAAGGGGGTGGCGTGGACGCAGGGCCCAGGGCCCAGCTGCCCGCAGGCACGTGCCTGACTCCGGCCGGCACAGGCCTGGGAGCCGCGGCCCGTGGGGCTCAGGAAGCGGAAGGCGGGTTTGGGCTGGTCGGTCCTGGGTGGGACCCTGCGGGACGCCCAGGGGCTCCCGGGACCGCGCCCTGTCCCCACCTCCTGACACAGGACACTCAGCGACACCATCCAGTCAGTGAGGGACACGGCGAGCACCAGCATGTAGGACAGCAGCCAGGGGTTCTTCCGGAACCGGGCCATCTGCACCAGGTAGGCCTGCGGGGTCAGAGCCTCGGTCAGGGGCAGGGGCGGCCCTCGGTCCCGTCCCCCGCGCGGCGGGGACTCATCCTGCGTGGCCCATGCAGACACCACCTGGGGCCAGAGAGGCTGCCCCTGCACAGAGCCAGGGGGCAGCCCTGAGCAGTGCCCGGTGGCCCCCCAACAAACCCCCGGCCCTCCTGTCCTGCACGTGTGCGGGACAGCCCCTCCTGCCCCCGCTCTCGCCTTCACCGACACGTCGGCCACGAAGACCAGCAGGCAGAGCCCCTCGACGCTCTCGGTCAAGCCGCACGGCGGCTCCCAGGGGGCCTGGCGGAAGCGCACGTCCGAGGTCCTGGAGAACGAGGACGGGGTCTCCACGAAGGCCAGAGCCAGGATCAGGAAAATGGAGAAGCTCAGGATCCTGGGCCAGGGCAGAGCACTCAGCGGCGGCCACTCGCGCCAGGCAGACGGGCAGGCGGCCCCGGAGCAGAGGGGAGGCCGGGGCGGGACCCACGCTTCCCGCCGCGGCCGCTCCCGTGTCAGCTGAGAACGTTCTGGAAAGGCCCCCTGGCCACCACAAGGGCCCTTCGGAGGCCCGACCAGGGTGGGGACACGCACTCACTCACCTCTGCCACAGCTTGGAGTAGTACCAGCGGTACAGCCACATCGACCAGACGTCCATGCGGTGGTTGATGGAGCGGTACTGGGGGACCACACGGGCACGAGTGGGCGCCCCACCCCTCACCGGCACACAGAGCCCCAGAGCCAGCGGGGGCCTGGCCCGGGACCCTCCCTCAGGGCCACAGTGCTCCCATCCACCCCACGCACTCTGCGGCCCCCGGGACGTCCCCTGCTGGCCCGGGCTGGGCGCCCCGGAGAAGCCCACCTGGATGGCGTCATCGATGAAGACCACCGCCTGCTCCAGGCACACGGCCCGCTTCTCCGCGGCATCTGCAGGGGGCGGGGGGCATGTCAAGGGCGCAGGCCATGGGCACTCCAGCTCCAGAACACGCCTGGCTCTGCTTGTCGGCAGGGGCTCCCCGAAAGGGGAAGGGAGGCCACGCTCAACCTGGGACACGCCTCGGTTCTCTGGGCCTGTTCCCCTTCTGCTCCCAAGCCGGAACCCACGGAGGGCTGCACCGTGAGGGGCCACCGAGCTGCCCTCAGTGCCCTACTGCCCCACCCACCCACCCCCCAGGGTGGCCCACGACCCTGCACCCCATCCCAGGAGCAGCACCAGCCCCCCGCATCCCACGGGACTTTAGTCTCCACGCAGACTCTGCGCCTCTTCAAGAGGCAGAGAGGAAACCACCCAAGCACCCAAGGTGGAGCCCTAAGCACCCTTCAGCCACCCACCCAGCAACCCGGCACAGGGAGCCTCTGTGGGAGCGGGCAGGGCCCCGGAGTGCATGAGTCGGGTGGCCCTTGAGTCCCACAGCCCCCAGTCAGACCCAGGGATCTGTACACCCCATTCCGTGGCACCCGGCTGTAGCACCCAGCTCCACGGCATCCGGTTTTGTGGCACCCTGTTTCACGGCACCCAGCTCTGTGGCATCCAGGTTCCGTGGCACCTGGCAGCATTGTTGCAAGATCACGTGGGCAGGAGCCACCTGAGATGTCCCCACGGCAAAAGCCATTTCATGTCAGAGTCGGGAGAAGCTGCCCAAGACCAGGACAGGGCAGGGTCAGGCAGCAGGGGTGGGGGCGAGACAGGTCAGGGTAGGGGGACACGCCCAGTATACAGGGGGTCTGTCGGAGCCCCTTGAGGCCTCTCCTCTGCCGTGGCTGCTCTTCTACGAGAGCCTGTGTCTGGCCCCCTGGGCTCTCGGGAAGCCCCTTGGGGAAGGATCCCCACCCCCCCATGCCAAGCTCTCACGAGCACACCCTCCCCCTCTCCTGCAGCCTCCCCCACCCAGATCCAGGGGCTCTGCCAGGCCGAGCTCCCCAGAGCCTGAAACATCCCCAGCCTGGTGCCCAGCAAGGCCATCGCCTGCCCCAAGCTGCCCTCATGGGGCAGTTACCAGCCTGTCCAGTCATCAGGAAAGAGTGACTTTCTTCCGGGGAGGAGGGGCAGGGCCCTGGTGGCAGCTCCCCCACACGGCAAAAGACCCCACTTCACGGCCATTCAGGGCAGCTGGGCAGGCCGAATGAATAGCCCTCAGTCCCTGCTGTCCTCAGGGAACGGGCACAGAATGTCCTGCCCATTGACAGAGGACCCCCGTGGTGCCACTTTCCCAGGGCGGGGGCAGCAAGGAGTCCCACCCCCACCCCAGTCCCCCCAGCTAAGGCCCTGGGCTGAGGGTCGGTCCCTGGGGGTCCGAAACCCCCGCAATGCCGCAATGCCCCAGGTGTGGCCCCCGTGGCCACCCCATTTCCAGAGACCCACACAGCACCCCCAGGCACCTGGCTGCCACTGCGCCCCGCCTTCCTGACCAGCCAGGCACGGGTCACGTGGAGGACTGGCCAGGGGACAGACTGCCACCTGGGCCTCCAGTTTCGTCACTGCTGACTCGGGTGGTGCCAAGGAGGCCCCCACCCACCAGCTCTGCAAACAGGGGCAACCAGGAGCCGCGCTGCGCCCGGAAGCGAGCCGGGCAGGGAGGGCACCAGACCCCAGTGGTGGGTGACCAGGGGGTCCCAGATCCCTCCCCTGCACCAGCCCCTCCAGGCTGCTGGGGAACAGGAAGGACGGGAGGGTGCTGCTGCGGTGGCGGCAAAGGGAGGAAGCTGCTCTGGGTGTCCCGAACCCCACCCAAGCACGACACCCCGCGCAGGGAGTGACCAGCGGCCAGCCGAGAGGAAAGCTGCGGGCCACTTCCTGGTTGAAAGTCCGAACCGAGGGGGGTGGGGGAAGACGGGAGAACGGGGCGCTGGGCCTCAGTTTCCCCGAAGCACCGGGGGCCGCCTCGCGGGCGTCCTGAGCCCTGCCCCGCACAGCACGTGGCCGCGTCCGGCCCGCCGGGACTGGCCGCAGGGCGCCGGGCGCTGGACGTCCCGAGCTGTCCCCGGCCGGCCGGGCGAGGCCTCCGCGGTCCCGCGCCGTCGCGCCGCGCCCCGGCCCGTCGTCGCACCCCTCCGCTCCCGGGCCGGGGGTCGCCGGGGCGCCGTCCCCGGCCCCCGACCCCCGGAGAGCAGCTGCCCGCGCCCCTCGGCCCCCGCCCGGCCCGGCCCGACGGACGCGGCCGGCGCGGCCCCGACGGCGTGACCCGCGCGCGGCCCCGACGGGGCGCCCCGCGCGCCGCCGCGCTCACCGGGACCGACGTGGGCGCCGTAGCGAGGGGCCGAGTCCGCCGAGCTGTCGCCGCCTGCGCCGCCGCCGCCGTCGCGGGCCCCGCTCAGGAGCGGCTTCGACTCGGCCCCCGCGTCCGCCGCCAT